CAACTCTGAAGGATGAACGACACGATCAAATGTGCGTCAACACTAAACAAACTTTAGACCGCCATTGCCTTAAATCGCACGAAAGTAAAAAAACAGATCAATTTCAATAAACATATAACAAAATATCTCCGTCAATAGCCAATATAAGACACGTAAAACTATCAGTGTATTGTGAGCGATACCTCAACGTCCAAATAAACCACAGACATAACCGCCCCAAACACAGAGACCAAATGAGTTATTCGGCGAACTCAGGCTGGCGGAAACACATGGCTTTTTCGACAATTTACGATCTAACAGTTCCTAGGTATGACAGCCGATATTTCATGATATTCAACAAAGACAAACGACGCAGCGTTTTACGATCTCTGCCAGCCACCGTAAAGAAATAAATAAAGTGACCAATTTCGATTTACAATACACTGCAGAAAATAAAAATTATAATCACTGAGTTATAAAGCATTACAGAGGGATAAGGTTAATCAGTGAAGATATTCCACAAACGGCATTCGTGACAAAATATTGGAGTGTGAGAATGAAATAGATTAGAGGAAAAGAGAAGAGGAGTGAAGAGAATATAATTACATTTCACCCTCGTAGTCATATTCTAATTCTAATTTTGACACAATAGCGTCCACTACTAGTACTATACAGTGACGGAAACTGTGTTTTCAAATTTAATTACCGGTATTAATCGGTGTTGTTTTCAAAACAAGCAATGATAATGTAAAGTGGCTTAACTGTCTCCGAATTACTGGCTTAAACAATTAGCTTAATAATATACATAATTTGCCCCAGACGAGGAAAAAGTTCTTTAGCGCTGTAAATAAAATAACCGTGAATATGCAACGCACGATATCCTTGGTGTTCTGGTGGTGTAACTTATACAAACTGCCTGTGATAATACGATAAAACACAAGGGACTAGGGCTAACAATTTTACGTCAGTCAAAGAATTCAATTGGCCGAGTGTATATATGTGCTTGTTTGCGCGTGCGTCTTATGGCAGTCGCCTGACAACACTACGGGCAATTAAAATGTTAATTGAATTGCGACTAGCGTTATAGAGAAAACTGCCGCACGGATATAAATTTTGTCAGCGGCGGTGTGGCGTTGATTTAAATTTTGGGATTTTCTCGCCCCGGGGTGTACAGAAATTCACAGCACGGAGCCAGATAATGAGACAGTGAATACCTAACAATTAACTTAATATTCCAGCCCCTAGACATACACAAATTCAGAGTGGAGTTGTTTTCACCTTCTCCCTATAAGCTACATATGCATACAGCATTATCGCTAAACTAACATAATTCTCAACGTTGTTCGCCAGTTTAACTCTAAGTATCACTTATTTTACGGTCTGTCATTCGACGTACGGACTTAATTGAATTGCAGTACGACGAGTGTTATCTTTTTTTCGTATCAAACTTTTGGTTTGGAAAGTTGTAAGATTTGGCAATAGCATTGGACTATATTGTTTAAATTAATGGAAACTATTAAATCATTTCAAGAGGTACGATGAGTAGTTGATTTCGTTTAAAAAAATATTATATATTTGGAGAATACAAAACTAAGAAATGTGTAAAATTGTTTTAAAACTGTTCTGGAGAAATGTATCACATGGCGAATAACAGTAAGTCGACCGCCTAGCGTGAAAAGCAATGGAGCGAATCGGACCGCCCAGTGTGGCAGTGGAGACTGAACTAACACCGTTTCCTCTGCTGCACCCTTATTGTGATTCCGAACTTGTGCACTGTCGAAAAGTCGAAGAATTGGTAAATAGATAATTACAGTTCTCAGGCTCAATTTGCGTTTGAATGTCTTTTATTTGGTTAATTGTTATTTTTTATTATTGTAAGTCGGTTTATGAGGCTGTATGACTACGACGATAAACGAAGCAAAGAAACGCAAACAAACCTCCCTAAAAGATGATAAAATAAATGTTTCAATCTATTGTCTCTAGCATATCTTTTAAGTTGATGCCACTGTGAGGTGTACTTTTATTGGGAGGACAGTTACTGTCACCTTCATCTGTCTGCTGGAAATGTAGAAAGAAAAGAAGTCTAAATGCGTGGTATAAATTAAATATAAATCACAACTGTTAGAAATAATATAAATGTTAGGCGTTCTTAGCCCTATTTAATAAGCAAAAAAAAAATGTTGTGGTTGTTGGTTGCTCGGGGCGACAGGACTATTGAAACACGGAGCAGGGTTAATAGGGGTCACCAAATTTGAATTTTGTTTTTGCAAAACATATTGTTCTAAAACGTAAGCCCCTCTAATAATAAGATTACAAAAAGTGTCCAAATACTGTGTTTAGTACGCACACATTTATAACGCTAACGCTATATGTCGATGTGGTCATTAACGGCAATTCATTATAAACGCAATCTTTAAACACCCAAATAAGACTAATTAATCGTTCACTGAAAATAATATCAGCTAAGCTTTCCGAAGGTTACACTGAGCTAAACATGCTGACAGCTTATTCGAATTAGCCGCGTACGTGCCCCACTCTAGTGATCGTAGTCAGAGTTATACTAGAGGCAATTGATTACTGAATCGGCCTTGTTGATGTTTTTTGATTGATTACAGCGTTCCATTGAATTGTAATATACTATCCAATCAAGTACTACTAGACTATTCTAATTTGATACTAGGAGCAAAACTTTGGGAACCTTATTATCTTTGCCTTATTGTTTTAAACTCATATTTGCAGATGCCCGAACTGAGAGGGGGGGGGGGCTCCCGTACTCCCATACTCACGCAATAATGTATACCATACTTACGTCATTGTTGCACAGCCTAAAATTACACAGCGCATGCGTTGAGTGGAATTAGCAATTCGCCGTGGCGTCGACGCGAGTGGGGAAAGCAAACACTATTTTATAATCATATAGTTTATAAAGCCAGCATAACGATCTCGTCAAGTTGTAAATACGTTTCAATTCCACGGAATTAAATCCGAGTTGTTAATTTTATTATTATTGTTGCTATTAGACAGCTTGATTGGTGACATACCACCAAATTATAGCTGTATAAACTGGGCATCGTATGCGTGTGTAATGAAAGGGCGTTCATTCCAAACTCTGAAGTTGAATAGAAATGTACATAGTTCATATGCTGAGTTTACCGGTGTGGTGTCAGTATGAGATGACACTTCTATTCCACACGTATTTCGCTGTGCATGACAACTTAAACTTTGTTCACATTTCCATGGCAACAAAGAAAACAAACGATCGTTACAGCAATACGGTTTGAGATTATTCGTACTATATTTCTGAGTTGTATTTTGACTAGTTTTGTTAACATTTTCCAAACTCATAAAAACCTACACCCAAGTTTTAGAAAAAAATACAATTTTATTTGTAAATTCATATATCATTTTGGGCGTGTAAGTCTTCCAAGATCTAACCACAATGAAATATTTATCGGCTGACTTCAAGTTGAATGCCATCTTCTGGAAAAGTTGACCGCGGTTCGAACTAGCCCCAACTTCAATATGCCACACATTACTTTGAATGCAAAGCCCACCTGCCTCGATTCATCCCACTTTATCCATCGATTATTACTAAGTTTTCCTCAGACACAAAAACAACACTACGGAAGCCACAATATTTGCGGCCCTCCCGTACAGAGGGTTCTAATTGGCCTTTGACCTCGACGCACTATAGAAGATCTAATAGACAAAGAACCGTCGTTGTGTTAACTGTTCCCGTTGTGAAGAGATGCAAAATAGAATAGAATATCATGTTTGTGTTATTGTTTGAAGAGAGGTTCTGTCGTGTTGACGGAACGCAAACTAGGGGTGTGTGTAAGTGGCCGCTCACGTGCAAGAACGACATTTGATAGTCTAAGCTTTAAAGTCAGGGTTATTAGGTCTTTCAGAACTTTTCAAAGAATCCTTGATTATTCTCGACTTTACATCCTATTCTGTAGTTTCTAATTTCGTTATTAAAAGTACATTGACGCTTTCTCCGTTTCAAGACACCGGAGTACGGTGTACGGCACAGCTTCGATTGCTCTACGCGCAGAACGCCGTAAAGTATATGGCCCATCTATACAGATTATCACCAAAGCTGGAATATCGCCCGGGGCATGCTTATAATAGTTATTATTCGACACCTTTTGGGGAAAAGAAAAATACAATTACTACAATAGAAATACAATTGACATGTTGCAGAGATCCTATATACGCGGCATAGCCTGGGTTGGCTTTTTTTTCTGTTTGTGCCGTGGTCGGGGACTGTGATCACAATGACGCAAGCCCAGCAAGCTATTAGTGTGTTCCCCAATAATCCCACGACAAGTTAACTGATATAATTATTATACTAAAATACAGTTTAATTAACTTGACGATTAAGTTTAAGTAGCGCCTACTTGCCTAACAAAAGGCGCAAAGTGGAAAAACACTGCAAATTATCGTGAACGTTAAAAACAAATCTATTGTTGTTTCGTAATATTTTCTATGCCTTTGTTCCTTTTCGTATTCGTAACATATAATTATTACCTTATTGTATGCAGATTTAATTTCTGCGATTTTTTCATCATTTTCTGTTTATAAATCGTGGGAATGGTTTTATTAGCTGCCTATTCTCAACGTTAACATTAACATGGCACTGAACAATAGGCAGCACAGAATAGCCATTATGCAGAGGACTTTCTACCCATATGGCAAGGCGGTAGGGTCACTCTCAATGCATACCTAATTCGTCAAATCGGAACGGAGAGGAATAAATATAACCACTACATATGCGGGTCATATTTACGCTGAAATAAAAACAATACTTATGCAAATGAGTAAACAAATACATTTCATTTTACATTTTACAGGCGTGTTTCAATACGACCATACGGTCCGTTGGTAGGCGTGAAAATATCGTCGCTTTACCGTATAAAGGGGCTCGTAATCCATAGCTACGAGTATTGATCTTACTGACGTGAACTGCCGTATCGTTATTTTATCGTCTAGTGAGTAGCTGAGAGATTTGAAACGCCATGATGAACGGAGCCCTGAAAAGAAAACTTCAAGAGAGGGTAGCACAACATGCCAGTCAAAATCAGGAAAATTTACCGCATTTCGTCGATCATCACCACCACAGTATCAACGCTAGCACATCGGGTCTGTTTGGTGACGGTAGCGCGTCGACAGATTTCACAGCGGGGTTTATGAGTAACAGTCTGATGAACTGCCAATCGGAAGATACTTCAAACAGCGAGGCCGGCAGTGACATCGCCTGTCGATCGACATCGGGACGGAGACGATACTCCAACCGGAGAGCTAACAGCGACAGGCGAAATAGAATCAACGAAAGGGAACGAGCTCGAATGCACCAGCTTTGCGACGCTTTCGAAAAACTGCGCAAAGTACTGCCCTACCAGAGAGCTAAACGGGGACCAAACAGACAGAAACTTTCAAAAATCGCCACCCTCTTACTTGCTCAAAATTACATCCGAGCCCTGGAGGACATGTTGCAAAGAAGCCATCAGTACGAACAAGTGGCACAGTGTTCAACGTTGCCGAATCCAGAAAGCAGTTACTACAACGATGCCTCGTCTTATTACTACGGAACAAACCAGTCCTACGACACAACACACATGCAGACGTACGCATCGCCTTCGACGTATATGACGCAGCCAGAGCCGCATCACCTTGGCTCATCTACAGTAACGAACCTATGAAAACTAGCTGTGAGTGCGACGGACTTTTAAGAAACATTTTAATACACACAAAAACTGTAATTATATAGTATTTATTTTATCAATATTTCCTGTGCTTATCAGTGTCACTCGTCTAAATTCGCTGCACACTAAAACTTAATACCGAGTTGTTATTAGGCCCTCATCTATGTCTATATTGTGGCAGAACAGAACAGTTAAAATCAAACTTAATTTAATATTAATTTTAGGCCTTTTATCCAGATATTATCAACGACAGCGATGAGAATTGACATCTTTCAATATGTTGTCTATTTTGTAACATGAATGATAGCAATAATGGCGGCCGTGTTGTCGTCACATAGCGCATCGTACGGCAGTGCATTGTATTGATATCATCTAGTTACGCTAAGAAACAATCACATTATAATTATTTTGATTACCAGAAGGAAGGAAAACGCTATATTAATATGCTATATCTGCGGCAAATAACTTAACCATTACGACAAGTGGTATATTTCGGAATGTTTTCGGCATACCGCGTAAGAAAATGGAATGAAGTATTTTTTTCAAAAGTGCATTGTTTTATACTTTTTTTTAAAGACACACATATTGAGGTGAATGAGCTCAATTGCTGTTCCATCTGTCGGTTATCTAGGTTAAACAAAAAATACCATCTTACAGGGCGCCTTACGTACTTACGTACGACAGTACGGCTTCGAACCCACCTGTTGATGCTACAGCGAGTTACCAATTTATATCAATGCGTAAACCATACATCTTGTTTTCTTACTATGACCACAACTAATTAGTAATACCACTAAGTGCCTTGTAATTGATATTTAGTGAGTTTTACCAATAGTCTTAAAACTCAGTATCCGCCTTATTCTAGTAATACTGTTCAGTCACCATGCTGACGACTACTTTTAAAAATAATTCCGTGCCACACTTGCGACTACCAATCGGCGAGTGTTTCGATTTCTCACGTACCAAGGTACCACACGTTTAAAAATCTTTCTTCTTCTCTTCATCTACGGCAATAATTGTAATCGGAATGCATCAATTTATCACGGTAATCACTAATTTCAGTTTATTATCTGTGTTATTATGTACCGATTGCACGTAACGCTACAAGATTCAATCTAACCACACTCTGAGAGAGTGGTCCCAGGAAGTGAAATTAACATCGATAATGAGTATATATAATCAAATTTCGATACAAACAAGGGCACACATTTCAGTGTTTTTGTTCGACCATCCAATTTCTGAATTCAAACACATAAGCTGGTACGCCATACGGACTTTAAAAAATCCCAAAGAAGCCATATTGTATCTCGATATTTGGAAATAGGAAATTGACTTCTTTTATGGCTCCGAAGAGTTTTTCTATAAAAACCTGCACTGTATAAGAAGCAGGCAATGTGTGTGCAATATTTACAACAATTGTTGTCGTTATTCTTTCTAAATATAATTCATATATAAATATTATTTATATTTTGTTTCCGAAATAAAACAAAGGTTTTTACTCCAATCAAATATTGTTTCATTTTAAATTCCAATATCAGTACTCAAGAACTGTCTACAGCGTCAGAGCTATTTTTTTAATTTTTTTTTTTATATATTTACCGTTTTTGATAGGTTTGTGTTCAGTTTCATGTCAATACCGGTATAAATGCCCGACTCTGTTGATTTTGCGATGAAACGACGCACAGACTGAATGTCATAGTTCACGTAGTATCGTTTTGAGTCAGGTTTCATATTTGCGTTGAAGCATATGCCAATGAATGAATGAACTAGTAGGCTGTGTGTTTAAATCGGGCTCACCTCGGCTCCATTCAGCCTCATTTGGTGTCCCTATTAGACTCCCAGAACTTAGTGGGAAGCACATTCACGACGATTCTAGAAATACGTTAGGTACGTTCTTTTGGGAAGCAATCTATGGCCTACAGAATAATTGTGTCTAATTCTATCTTTTTTAACGTTTTTAATATAAAACACTTTTTTTCGAATTATTTTAAAGATTTGCAATTAGAATGGCACGCCGATTTCAGCCGATTAACATCCTAACGATAATCGCGGTTACCAATCAGTAAACGAATGTACAGAAATCGGATGGCGCGTATTTCAGCTATTTTTATGTCCCGTACCAGCACATTTATCTGCAGTCGTGTATAATTTTTCTAGTCAATTCACGGAGAATTCGAATTGCCGAGTCGTCCTGGTGGATTTCAGTTTTCAGTCGTTCATCAATCACCGCCACCTAACGTATGCTGGAAAAGAATAAAGGAAGATATTCGGGGTGTTCAATCAAATTATCCACAGTTATCAAATTCCAATGACGCAACTAGTGTTTATTAGAACTTATCAGTGCAATAAATTAAGATTATTTAAATGTAGAGTGCGTTTTCTTGATTAAAAAAGTAACGTGAAATTATTTGTTTTTTTACATCCGTCCATGATGACTTTTTTTCATTATGATGACACTGGTCTATCTATCAAACCATTTCCAGTGAACATGTTTGCGTGCGCCGAACAATGGCCGGTTAATACGCTACCAATATTGAACAGTTTTTTTCTCCCAACAAACTAGGTACAAGCGAAGTAGTATTTTTGCCAAGTGTTTGTCAAATGGTTACAATATAAATGTTATGCTAGTGGCTGCTTTTCGAACAGCGTGACAATCATATAAGTTCTATTTTAAGCCTATTGTCTAAACTGTCATGTAGACGCCGTGCAGATCCAAGAATGATGACTCAGTTGTCTCTTTTTGTATTAAAGAAACTATATTTGGAAATGGAGGTACCATTTAAAAAACACGTTATCTTTTCAAGCTAAAATTCGGGAATGTTTGTGATGGTAGTGTAAGTCAGTCTAATCGCCGCTCCAGTACTTGTTGCTCGGAGGCTGAAAGCTATCAAATGTTTTGAAACAAAATCGGTCGGTTAATGAAATCGACATATAGAAATTTCTGTCGACTGTCATCAACCGGGACTACTTATAGACGCAGCTATTCATTATTGGCTGTACTCCTTGTGATATCAATCTTATAAACCTAGTGATAATATTGAACGTGCGTTAAACAGTGAATTAAATAAACGCTTCACACACCGTAACTAAGTCTTGATCGGAAAACATAATCAATATGTTATTCTAATCTCATACTTCTGGTCAATATCAATTGATCAAATCGACTATCGCATTATCAAGTCCGGTATTATTTTCTTTTTGTAAATATTAGATATCTGTTACAATGCTAGATCAATATCTTCACATGTCCAATGTTTCTAATTGGTGATGTTTTTTTAAGCCACTATCACTACGGAATATTTGTAAAATACATGTACTTTTCGCCACGCACGTTAGAATAACAACCGGCGATGTTTGCTTTTCTGCCACGGCTTAGAGTGGAAAACACTTTGCAAATACCAGGCCTGTCTCTATACCAGTAAATTTATAAATCGTCGTTATAACGGGAAAGAATGTTGCCATGAAAATTCGCATCCCAACATCTGGTGTAACCGATGTAAACAAGGTACACACATTTTCATGCGGAGCAAACCAACTGTGCGAGTGTTTGGCAGTATTTCGTGGCGCCCGTACACCGCTGCCTCTCCTGAAACGGGTAAATACCGCTACCAGTCAATAACATAATACTGGTAATCATACAAAATTCCTTGTCATATTTCAATTCGCGAGTTCTTCAAAGAGTAGAAAGAATTGAATATAGTTTTTGGTTTATTATCCAAACGGGTGGTCGAGCAGCGACACTCACCAACCTCTTTACCTGAATTGTTGGATTTACATAATCAAATATTAAATAATAATTTACATAATCCGAATATTAATATGGTAATAATTTACCTTTATAAACTTCTGAGTTTTAATTATTTTGCAGCATGCTCAGAGTTATTTTTATAGCCTTTGTGCTCGTTTTCAATATAATATTGGGCTATAGTTTCCGGCGAGCCGAGGGAAAAGAAAAAAAAAAAACACCATTGACCATATTGTGCATTACGGCTATATGGAAAGTCATATTGAAATCGATCAGCATATGGTGGCATGGCCGCCTATTCATCTCGCGTAGTCACGAAATTATTAAAAAATACACACTTGTGAATAAACTAAGTACAATTAAAATGGAGTGTACTAAACGTTTTTCTTGACGTGTTTTAACAAACGCAATCATTTTCCTCGTTCATTATTTTTCACTGTTTTATGTATTTTGACACATACCACTTATCATTAATTGTATAATTGCGTGATTCATAAGACCGTTGGCATGGCAATAGAGGGTTACTATTCTAACATCTCCATCACGTCATGTAGCGATCAATGCCACGTTTTCTTCTTCTTCTTGGTAATATTGACCGTTTATAGGATTTCCCTGGTAAGAAGCGCCCAATCCTAACAGAACGCTACGGTGTACCTGTTGCATTGTGTGCCGTCTTCACATGCGTGATGTCACGCCGATTGCAAACACTTATATCGTGCCCTGAATAACACGCCCGGTTGCACCATTCTTGCAAGTGATTCATTCTACTGCAGGGATGTTTCCATATCACCGACAAAAAGACTAATGTGAACAATACCAGACTACATTTGTCGTAAGCAGTGGCGTAAGATAGCACTGATGCTGAAACATTGGTGTGACACTGAAAGTGACGACTCGGATATCCGAGATTCTGAAAGTTGTATCCGAATCATGTCACCAGCTTCACGATCACGACCAAGTCAGCATAATCACCTATAAGAGAAGACACAGGATTTAGGTCTGGTATTATGTTATAGGTAACTTGTAGGTGACATTTATTCCTCGGTTAGCTTGCAGTCAGTGAACATGCTATAGGATATATATCGCCATTCTAATATGCTCCTGGGGTACGTTCAACAATAATTCGTTTATTTTAATTTTGAAAAGGCGTTCAGATAAATCTGTTTACTCAGTGGTAAAAATTAGAAAACAATACACAAAAATGATTCGGGATGAAGTTGAAAATGATGAATTCAAAAGTTTAATTTGAATT